ACACCAAAATAATGTTCATAGGCTGTCTTAACGATAGGTGTCATTTTACGTTTCTGAGCCTTAAATGTTATTTCACCACATATATAGCAAAAGCTATCGACAGAATTCACACACTTTCGAGGCATTTCAGATCAGCACTTAAATTAATTTAAAAATCAACTTCACACGATAATTTCAATAGCAACCACGTGCGTACAATTGACAAACTCACATAGGTTATGTTTACTACTTAAGAACAGCTGATGAGAGGGGTGTTATGTAAACAAACATGTGTACCAACTGTTGGTGATGAAATATTTCATTTGTTGAAAACTCAATATACATATATATAATATAATGATACTATATCTTGAAAACAAGAGCTAATATATAATTTTTATGGTCACTTTCGGTTTTAACACGTGGAAATACATTAAAATCATCTAATTTCAACCCCGAAACAAAAACTTTGTTGTGTTGTGTTAGCGAAGGTTATACGGGTGAGAAAGTTATCGAAGTGCTTGAAAAGATGGTAGTCGATTGGCGAGATATCTGGGGAGTATGATGGTTGAGACATAGCTTGGATTCTCAACGGTAACTTCTGAAATGTGCGCGGACGGGCGTTGTTGTGAAGCAGGATTCGACCTTTTCTGTTGGGCAGTGCTGTTTACGAAACTTTTTGTACATTTCGTCGATTTCCACACAATAGAGGATTATTTCGTGGGGATTATGGGTTGGATTGTTGAATGTAGGGGAAACTTATGTTTGTTTTTTTCTGCTTACAACTGGGGTTAAAAAGATAATTGATGTTTTTAGTTTATTACTATATTCAGGACAATATGTTAAGGAATGTTGTAGACACACATATACTATAAATAATGATTGGGAAATGAAGAAAATGGGTCTTCTACCTCGCTAATTCGTATTGGCGGCGTTATGCGTCGGTGGTGGGGGTGAGGGAGTTCGGAGGAGTAGGGGTTCCCTTGACAGTGGTGGCGCTAGACAGAGGGAAGATGCCAGTTGAAAGGCCTTCGAGGCAAGACAACATAGGCAATGGCATTATTCATTTTCTGAACGTCTCCTGTTATCGTAGAGGATCCACTTTTCATCACAAGTAACGATTCGATCCTGAAAAGGATCGTTTCGGTTGCGCAAAAGCAAAGAATAACAAACCTCGACAACTTGAACCATCAAAAACCGTATGGAAGCTGACGCCCAGTTCTTTCGCCAGCTCACGCACCGTTTGTGATGGGTCAGTTTCCACCTGGGTCTTGAAAACTTCGTCCTGGATTACTATAGTCCTGGATTACATTTTCAGATCATCTGCAAACATGAGAAATGAACAATGGGCTACTTACTTTAGGAAAATGTTTGTGCTGATTCTTATTCGTTAGGTAGAACTACATGTTTATGTGTAGTATGTATATTTTATTTTTTGTTTCAGTTGAGGTGAAGCAGGGCCAACCCGTTTCGCGGAGCGGATCTGATAGACGTCCCGACGCTGTTCGAGAAGAAGGTCTCAAACACCAGGAGTCCGCAACTGGTACCGAATCTCGCCATGATGTCTCCCACGACAAGACTGATATCACCACAATGGCCAGGTTAGTAGTTTTAATGTCAATTTCTGGTAATTAACTTCTGGAAAAAAATTGCTCGTCGATGTTTATTTTGCTAAAAAATCTTCTACTACTTCAGTGGTGTGGGATATACCCCTTAAATTTTGAGTGGATTAGAAATCCACTACATATTTTCCTTTTCAACAAAAAAATCTGTCAAAAACCGACTTATTGGCCCGCAAGGTCACCTGATTTGTGTCCATTTGATTTTTAGCCACTAAAAACCTGCAATTTATGAAACCCAACCAGCATCTCTAGTCGATTTACGGAATTGATTTTTGTTGAATATAGGAACATTATACAGGGAGAATGACATTTTGAACACATATTCAAGCAAAAATTTAGTAAGATAAATTTTTGAATGTTATTCATTTTCACATCTCCCGCTTTGTGAGGTCAAAACTTCGAAGTTGTGCTTAGAAAAAATGAGGACTTTTCCGCAAAAAAGCCATTTTTGTTGAAAATCTATGAAAAGTAACTTTCTTTATGTTGACTTCTCATCAGTTCTCGATATCCACAGCATCAATTTAAAAAAAGNAAAAAATAAAATCCTAGTGCTCGCGTGTGTTCCTAATCGTATTGCCATGTAGAGGTTGAGTCTTGTTTGAAAATCATCAGTGTAAATTTATATAAATAAATTTAATAGTTTTATTTTGTGAAGACATTTTTCAGACAATAAAAATACGAAACTCTAATATTCCCCAAAGAATATTGCCAATGGTGTTCATGCAAACCTTTGACAATCATTAACATGGTGCTTTCCGGATTATATTAATATAATCCATTACCCAGTATTGCATTATGGAAAACAATGGAATTTCATTTACCCTCAAAGGATTAAGTAGGAGGAAAATTATACAGGTACAATTGAAATGTATATTCTGGAACATATATACCTAATATCCACATTAATTTCTCAGTAGCTTCGAAATATTTAGATAGTCGTGATGTCGTTTGTATTTAGTTCAAAAAGTTCGGATAAAATCAAAAGAGTGACAACCAAAGTTGATATGTTTCGAAAGTATTTTCCTTTGGTGTGATTCAATGTTTATACGAAAGTAATTGTTTCGAGAGAGCTTTTCTTTCAGTTTGTGTCTGAAAGTTACTTCTTTGCATGATCTACACATCTTTGTGTAGAGTTAATATTTGAAATGGATTGCTTCCTCCCTTCATTTGGAAGAATTCCACATTTTCTTGTCCGAAGATGGAGAAGTAGATAGCCAAAATCTTTCTTGTTGGTTACGACGCATGAAGAAATGTAGAGAAAATGATAATGTTTTAAGAGCTATACCGAATAGAATTTGAACGACAAAACTAGTAGATAGTTAGTTAATCGACAGGGATCAAAATGACTTATTTTTAGACCATTCACAAAGAGTGGAATTCGTTTGATCACAAACTGAAAATTTCGTAGGACTGGTAATTTTTTTTAAAGAACGAACCCAATTTCACACAACAGCAGTAAATTACTGTCGAAAAGTTGAGATTGATTTCAGGTAGATCTAATCTTGGTTGTACTGTCAAATATGAGTACATAAATTCTGAACGCAATGAAATGCGTTCAATAGCAATGAAACTAGTAAAATTTCATTTTGTAAGTTGTTGAAAATTGTGTTCGAACCTCAAAATCACTGTAAGAACTGGAATTCGTCGATAGCTGTTGAAAATCTATATAGTATTCTAGTAACACTTCGTGAGATTTTCAGTGAACAACTAAAAAACCGCAACAAGTATTTCAATACACAATAGCTTTCTCAGGCGTGTTTCGCTATACACCATCTTTCTCAAGCGTGTTCAACTATCAACACGCCTGATGAAGCTATTGTATAAACACGTGTTTCACTACACGATAGCTTTCTCATGTGTGTTCAACTATTAACAGGCCTGAGGAAGATGTGGTATAGACACGTGTCTCTCTATATTATAGCTTCCTCAGGCGCGTTTCGCTTTACACGACGCTTCTCATGCGTTTTCAACTATAACACGCCTGAGGAAGATATTGCACAAACACGTGTTTCACTATACAATAGCTTTCTCATGTGTGTTCAATTAATCACAGGCCTGAGGAATCTGTGGTATAGACACGTGTCTCTCTATATTATAGCTTCCTCAGGCGCGTTTCGCTTCACACGACGCTTCTCATGCGTTTTCAACTGTAACACGCCTGAGGAAGATGTTGTATAAATACGTGTTTCACTACACAAAAGCTTTCTCATGCCTGTTCAACTATTAACACGCCTGATGAAGCTATTGTATAAACTACACAATATCTTTCTCAGGCGTGTTTCGCTTTACACCATCTTTCTCATGCGTGTTCAACTATTAAAACGCCTGATGAAGCTATTGTATAAACGCGTGTTTCAATACACAATAGCTTTCACTATACAAATGCTTTCTCAGGCGTGTTCCACTGTGAAAACGCCTGTGGAAACTATTGTATAAACACGTGTTCACTATATAATGACTTTCTCAGACGTGTTCCACTATGAATATGCCTGAGAAAACTATTGTATAAACACGTGTTCAGTATATAATGGCTTTCTCTGTTGTGTTCCACTCAGGCGTATTTCGCTATATAATAGCTTTCTCAGGCGTGTTCCCCTATTAACACGCCCTATTAATAGAAAGCTGTTGTATGAACACGTGTTTCAATATAGAAATGCTTCCTCAAGCGTATTCCACTGTGAAACGCCTGAGAAATAAATTGTGTAGTGAAACATGTGTTTCGTTTCCAAAGCTATTTTCTAATAACTTATTTCGGTATCTCTTAACGCGAAGCAGAATATCGATAATTTGCTTTTTCGCGGGATCGCAGTAGGCTGGATTTAAGGCTGTCGCTCAGGCTCAGTATTGCGAAAAGTGCGGTCCATAAAGGTCTACGCCTGTACCAAAAATCAAATATCTGCTTTCAAAAATGACTAAAATACATCTACATCTTGAGAGTGTCAAAGTGTATAAGAAAATTCTCTGCATTTGAAACACACTCTGTACATCCATCACGTTTCATGATTTGAAAATTTACTATTAGATTTTTTTCGTGGCAATATTCCAATAATGCAAAAATCCAGACTTGGATGTTTGTGCTTGCATAGGTCGAGAGCCAAGAGTTGACAGTGTGATATTTGCCGAAACGATTCGGCCAAAATACATTTTTGCCAGATACCGATAATCAATCAGATTAGATAATTGCGAACCTCAAATATCCCAACAGTTCCATTCCCGATCGTGCTTCGCATTTCGAACAACCAAAATGAATTCATAATGAACGGAATGTAGTTTAATTCAAAAAATAAAATCCTAGTGCTCGCGTGTGTTCCTAATCGTATTGCCATGTGGAGTTCGGATATTTTCGGAAAGGAAAAAAAGAAGAAAAAACTCGAGAAATCCAGGTGCGATTTTTTTTTGTTGCCAGACAGGAAGGAATGTGTTCTTTCGAGGAAGCCTAGAAATAGATCAATAGTTAGCGTTTATTTCTAGCCAAAGTTTCTTTCGAATGGATATTCTCAGGGTCGTATGAATGCTGCTGCACATGTGGTTTTGTTGTGTTGAAGAAATATGAACTTGTATAGAGTATAATGTAACAGTTTATTAGCATATATCAACTTGACTGCCAACTGCTTTTAGCGTTATTAATATTGCGACCGAGATTGACTTTTAAATGCGAAGAATAGATACAGGAAATTTTTACTGTGATTTGTAATATGAATTTCAACATTTAAATTTTGATTACATTCAGATTTCATAGACTATAATTAAAACACGGATGCATAATACAATCTATCGCGGTTACTGATTAATTTACTTGTACCAATTGATCGATTATCGTATATTAATTGACCTTTCTATAGCCTGAAAAGACAAGGTGTGTAGCCTTCAAGATAATTTTACATCATGCGATGCTGTTTCTCCAAGATTATCACATAATAATATATTCATTTTAAATTGAAAGTGTTTTATTTTTGGGAGAAGTTTTGGCTTTCTACTTCTCCATGTTTATAAAGAAAGCCTGTGAGAATCTTCCGAAGAAAGACAGCAAGCAGTTTCAAAATAAACTAATATAAAGATTGAATTACACGAAAGAAAAATTCTTACTGAAGAAATATTTTCATATGAACACTGAATTATACAAAAAACAATTTTTCTTATTCAGTTGGTACTCCAAACATTCGCTATGGAGTTGAATCAGATATCATTCACAGGGTTGCTACACAATATAGTATATGATAGAGGTAAACACTTCACTTACGTGGAACACTCCCACCCTCAATGGCGGACATCGATGTTTCGGAATAGGACACTTGCCTTATTCAGCACCAATATGGATAGCACTAAAAAATGCCGCATTCAATTCATTCATAAAATTACGAATTTAAATCTGCTGTCATCGGTGACAGAAAGTAATGACATTCATTCGCTCATTTGATTTTTCCCAGCCATAGGAATCTTGCGTTTTAACCAAGTAACAATGTATCCTGAAAATTTATGAATATTTTTTCTTCTTCTACATTTGCCTAATCGGTATTTTCAGCGATTGCTTCCTTTATCAAAGAAGAAGAGAACATAATTATTAATTAAAACATTTTAATGTTCATTTGGGATTTCTAATTGTATCTAATATGTCACCAAGCTTTTGGAATATTGTACACTTTCGTATCTTGGAGAATACTGAACAATTTCCAGGAGTGAAAATGAATGACACATATCCAGTTTATTTCGTATGTTGTATGAATGTTCGTTTTCATTGATGTACCACATCAACTTGGTGAAGTTAACACGTCAGTTTTTTTATATTTGTTTACGTCATTGGCAGTTTCATCTTTATAATACCAGAAATAAAAATACGCTCAGGCGGCCCAAATATCGCTTTGATAAGACAGCTATAGGAACTGACTAAATATAAAGCTGTACCATAACTCGCCAGATGAAATAAAAACTTTCAACTTCCCTAGGTAGTTTTTCACCAAAATACTAATGACGACAGTTCAAGTAATAACATATGCGGACGACACAAACTTTATCATCAAAGCACAAGATGCATCAAATTTAGTAGATCGTACCCAAATTGAATATGAAAAGGTGCAAACATGGGCAAAAAATAATCACCTTGATTATGGGTAAAATAATTTTTTAACATTTGATAGTATTTTCTGTAGTGTTATATGATTGCAGAATTTTTACTTTTCGTTTCGCTTTGTTTATATGTTCGAATTCTCTATCAGTGCCGATACCTAAAAAATGAACAATTCAACCATTGCTTTGTCTTTTATTCAGTAATCTTTTATTTCTTTCCACAGTAGTACCATCCTTCCTGCAACCGGAAGCCAAAGGCGGGTGAACTCTAACATCAATAGATCGGAAAGCGTTAAAGAACAATCAGAAAAGGTAAGAAAAATTCCATGCCGATATAAAAAAAAATATATTTCGTTTCGTACATGACATGTCACAAAAATAAACTCTATTGAAAGATTTATGCAACAAATAAAAAGTTTTTGGGAAAGAAACGAAAAGTGAATTATCACAAAAGGAAATTCCCTGAATTCCCCTTGGAATGACAGGTACAACCACCAATTTTTTATAGGTTTGTGTTATATCGTTTGAAAGGTCTCTTCATTCTCTATTTAGAAATGTCATTGCTTTCAAGTTCATTACAACAATCAAGATAAAATAAATGAAAATCATGTGGTTACAGAAATTTGATAAAATACACTTAAAAACTAAAATGTAATGCAAAATGTAATGAAATGTACAATACGATGTATGGTTAACATTGAATGTAGTGGATGCCTGTTTACTCGATGTAGGTGGGTTTTCCTCAAACTCAAGCATCACATCTGAGTTTTTCTCTCATTGCATTGGCAGCTGCTTTTTTTATCTGCCCTCATGAACGTGCTCGCAAAATGCTTCTCTATTTTGCTTATTGTTTTTTGAGATATGGTCGGTAAATTAGGACATTTCTCATGAAATAGGAGAGCTACTTCCTATTGTGTTCGGGTTTTATCTCCGTAATCAATCATCTGTTATGCATTTCCGTTAATCTAACCATTTGTCAGACTTGAAGTTGACGAACTCTAAACTTAAACTACTGAGAACTAATGCTGTAACAGTACATTACAAACTGTTATCAATAAGAAATTTTCCATGAGGAATTGAATCTGTTACAAAAAATGAGTATAATAGCAATTTGACAGGTTTTGCCAAAAAATTGTCGACCGCCTGTAACCTCACTTGAAAGAAACGACAATGAATGAAACGTTTCATATTGCACTCGAAACGAATGTTATCTCCAGTGGAAAAGCAAGAAGTTTATTATCATAAAAATCTGCTGGAGGATATATATTGAAAATTAAATTTTGCCTGACTTTGCATATAGGGCAAACATGTAGAACTTTCTGTGAACGAATGAAAGAGTACGTGTGCAGTGCCTAGTCATCAACCTGATCTTCAGATATTCTCAAATTTGATTTCAACACTTTTCGTGATTACTATACTTCGATAATTTCTCTTTTACAATTCAACATTATTTTCATTTGACTCACATTTGACATTGGATTTAATTTTTTTACAGAGGAAGCAGAGGAGAAACATCAGTGACCCCTCGCACAATACCACAAGGTGAGTTTTGTTATTTTCAATTGACGATATTTCCTTATAGGGAAACGCAATAGGATATCTAGTAGCTTCCATAAATCATTCAAGTAAAAAAATTGCTTTCGGGCTAGTTCATTCTAGCCGCAATAAATAATTCATTGCGAATGTTTTGATCGTAAATTCCTCGATTAGATAGATTAGAAATGGGCCGGGTGAAAATGATCAACTTTAACTGAAAAACATTCTTAAGATTTGAGCCTGTTGCATTATTCAAGTGAATAGCTTGGTAAATGAAACGGTATGATCCGATTCTCAATCGAGGGCGCCTATAATCAAATAATTAACGGAATAATGAGTAGCAAACGGGTTTTCCACAATGGGAATGTTAAATTTATTGTTATACAGTGTGTAACAACGAAAACTTAACAGAGCCGTGTTTGAATATAAAAAGTAACATTTTTAAAAAAAGCTCGGACACGTCGATTTCTAATTAAAGGGGGACACCTTTCAGACTAATCAGATTTTTTGTAGTACGCACCCCCTCGGAGGGGTGCGTCCGACGACCCTTATTTAGATATAGTCAACCAGCAGTTGTCAGTTATATCAAATGAAGATTGACATGAATCTTTATATGAATGAATGTGCAATGAGAATAACATGAAAATGATCTGTAAGAATATTTTTTTATTCAGTTCATAATTGACAGGTTTGACATAAATATAGCACATGACTCACCTCTCTTAGACATCATGATTTCTTCATTTCAATGTTTGTCTTGCAATCAAGTAGATAACAACTGTAGTCCAAACATGTGAATTTACTAGGAGGAGATAAAATTATCAAATAAATTTTCAGCTTGATTGTGTAACTTGACAACCGGTGTAATTCTTCTATTTTGTATTGCATATTGTCATTCTTTTGGCCTCCTTTTATAATTCATGTTCGCATAGTGAATTTACTCGTTAAATGTCGTAATAAATCTAATTGTTTTTCCTAACAGAAGAGTTGAACTCGAGCTGGCTTGTTACGTTTTATCAAAAAGGGGGAGAGAGAGAGTCGCTTGCTTTATAAATAGAAAATTGCGATGGCATAAAAGTGTTATGAGATATGAACTTATCGTTTTCATGTAAATCTAGTTAGCCTTGACTTCTCGCTGAATCACAATGCACAACTGAAACGAGTATTGGGCGATAGAAAACATATGGGGCGGATATTTTTCAGTTTTTCCTAAAGTGACACAGATAATCAATTCAGAAGATAGAGATTGCAACATTATAGAGCTGGGAATGAAAGACTTTGACGGCTTTCTAATTCTCCACCTTTGTACAAAAAATGTGGAACCTTCCGAAGAAAGCAATTAATTTCAAAATAAACTCTTTAGAAATATGCGAAGATTATGCAAGGAAGTAACCTTTCGACACATACTAGAAGAAAAACCCCTCTCTAAACAACTTTTTTTATACGGACACTATCGGACCCGGTGAACGTCGTTCTGCCCGACAGTCAATGAATGAGCAAAATTAGGATTTTAAAATTGATACAAAATTATTAAGTATAATAAAATAAATGGTATTGGTATATAACAAAATGAATAGCAATTGGTTGTAAGAGTGCTCTTTTCAGTGAAACACCCTGTGATATACATGTGAGCTACTATCATTTGCGTTTTATTATAACACGTCATTATCATCACGGATGTTTTGCCTCTTTTTATTATTATTTTTATTGATAAAATATTGTTTTTCAATACTTATTATTCTATTCCCAACGAAGACAAATCCTTAAAAAGACAAATCATTAAAAACGTCCAGAGGTTCTTGAGTTCTTTTATTATTATTTTCATTATTGATATTATTTTTATTGATAAAATATTGTTTTTCAATACTTATTATTCTATTCCCAACGAAGACAAATCCTTAAAAAGACAAATAAAAAAGAAAGCTGATTATTTTTCCACTAAGCCAAGTGGTGTATCGCTTGAACGGTGTACAGACTAGATTTTGTTTGTATGAACATAGAAATTAGGCAGTAACGAAAACGAAGAACAGACAAACGTTTACCGGTTGATAATTTGGTAAAAAAACTGCAAAAACATTGAATCCTCGACAGTGGGATCTCCGTCAGGAATAATATTCTGGCCACACCGACTTAGTTAGAGAATTCTTCGGAAAAATATAAGGTTTTTCGTTCATGACCATAAGAAAACGAATAAATAACTTTTCATTCTTATGATTAGGGCCTTCTTTGACAAAAATTCAAATTGAGTACTACAGAGCTACTTTATGATACATATTTTTTACATGAACAATACGCGGTAATGCATTTTTTTATCAGAGTATTTTGTTTTGCAAATGATAGCTTTAACTATTCACTAATAATGACGGCCTTGGTTTACCCGATTCGATAATGAAATATATGAAACGTTCATTAGAACGAACATACCGTGGTAATATGTTTCAAGAAATGCAGTATCTTGAAATTAAGTGTTTCAGGAAAATACTTGATGTTATTGAAATTCAAAAATTTCGCAGAAAGGAAACAAGTGATTGATATTTATTTTGACATCTGTCAAACGAGTAGATTACATTGTTTTATGCGATTCAATTCAAAATAGAAACCACAGGATGGATTGCAACGTTTTTTTTGAGAATATGCAATATGCTTGTATTCTTGTTAGGAGAAATTATTGTCATTCAACAGTTTCAAGAAATAGTTTTTTATATACATGAACTTAGCGTTGCGGTTTCTACACTGGGATTTATCGGAACTTTAAATTATCTCACCAGAAAGTCGTCATTCTCATAATTGAAATATTGCGATATCGGAAAATCTCTCTGAAATGTAGCAAAAAGTCATGTCATGAAGGAGAATAATGAGAAAAAATGTCTTATTCAAAAAATTAAAAAACGGCTTAGTAATATAATCTCCGGGAAAAATATACATCATGATCTATTTTTCTCTTGTGATACGGCATATTTAAATTGCATTACATTTGAATCAATAGAACAAATTCTGCATCTCATTAACTAATTTCTTCCCCTATCGCACCTCCATAGCACCAATTGTTTTTGAGTGGATCACCCTATATTGTTTTGCATTCTCAGATGTTTCATGATGAGCAGATTTCAACAAAGTATAAAACAAATTTTTGGGAAAGAAAGTTTTTGGCTTTCTACTACTCCATCTTGATACAAAAAAAAGATGAGGGAATCTTCCAAAGAAAGGAAGGAAGTAATCAATTTGAAAATGAGTAACTCTATACATGGATGCGTAGATCATGCAAAGAAGTAATGAGAGGGAATCTTCCAAAGGAAGGAAGGATGTAATCAATTTGAAAATAAGTAACTCTATACATGGATGTGTAGATCATGCAAAGAAGTAACTTTCAGACACGAACTGAAAGAAAGTCCTCCTGAAACAGCTACTCTCATATAAACATTGAATTATACGGAAGAAAAACATTCCTTCGAAACAAATACTTCTATATGAACACTGAATTATACAGAAGATACTTTTCTCTACTCAGTTTGTATTTCAAACATTCGTTGTGGAATAAAAATCAGATATCATTCACATTCAAACAACTACCTCCATCTTTAGGTCAGGCCGTGCATGTGTCACTAGACATCAAAGTATGTGTAAGACATCAAAGTGTAAGCAGTGTATGACAAAAAAATGAAAGTATAAGCATATGAACATTTCTCAAAATCATTTTTGCTCATGTTGAAATCATAAAAAATTCTATTGGATATTTTGCAAGCCATGAAATGATCGTCTATAAGCCTTGTGCAAATCAATGGATGGACAGAAAAAACAGAAAATTCCAACGCTGATGTTGAATAACTATCTTCTTGCACTTGGAACAATAGCGTCCGAATTTCAATCGACCTAATGATTGAATTACCGAGATTGAAACCTCCCCAGTGTATAGCTAGTCTTAGTTTCAGTCGTCAAGTACAACTATAGCGTTCTTAACCACAAGTTTCTGTCTGATTTATGTCACATGACTATTTTTATCAAAAAATCTTCATTTTAAATTAGTACTAAAACTGCTTGCGCAATACAAGCTAAATTTCTGCTATTCCGTCATTATTCAGCGCGTTATGTTGTATTTATAGACATCTTTAACTGTGCCATAAAATGCGCCCATTCATTCATCGACTAATTCACTAGAGAGTTTTTCATTCATCAAAGTACGTATTTCGATCAATTCTGCTTTATTGCGCTTGCGCTTACGAAACTCGTCGTCCTCACATTCTTGACATAGTTATTTTGTTCCCGAAACATTACAGAAGTTGTACTACTTTTGTTTTAAGTACCCGTTTTTCGAATGACACATTTTTAAATCTGTCAGCCAGTTGATAAATTTTGTTTGTTTGTTATTCTGATTGATAGAGTGATAATGCTTTGTCGGGTTAACGATGATTACATTCAATTCATAGTTGGAAACTAATTTTATTTTATTTACAACTCTGCATAGTGTTTATTTATGAAACGTCAAGCTAAAATGAACAGTCTCGTAACTTCTGTAGAATAGAACTTCACACTTTCCGAAAAAGAGATGTTAAAATCAATGTTATTCGTTAGAAAAAAATGTTTCATTCTCCAGGAAGTACAACCCAAATTTTTTCATTCCAAAGACAAAGCGCATTATCAAAAATCACTTTGACGTCACTACCATAGAACTCCCCCTTTCAAATCACGTTCCAAAGGGGTATGCTTTTTGTACATGAATTATTATACGACATAATTATTCAGTCAAATATATTTTTAACAAAGTCTTGCTTCTTCATTTTGGAACTAATACAACAACACAGAAAAAAAGAAGAAGAACATTAAATTATGCAATATGAATGGGTTTTACGTTATTACTAAGTTCATATCAAATGTTAGTGACGTCATGACATTCGTTTTAACTCGATTTTGAGAATACTACTGACCAAAAATATAAAAAAAAATGATGTGGTTTTCCCAATATTAGTGTAAAGATCCATTGTTTAAATGCTTTGTTGTTCTGGTATCTG